ACAAACTTCCTACACAATTTTCCTGATCTGTTCTTTACTTGGATTCATTATGTACATTCCTGAAAAACACCTGTATGGTTTCCCAGTTAACTACATGAGTAATATCCATGCTTTTGCACTTAAATGTTGATTTAGATCGACAGGCAGTTTGTGCTATAGTAAGTGACCTAATTCTCCTACCTTACAAATTTCCTTCACACAGAAAACATTCTGAGGCTTTTCAGTTTTCATCTTTTTGTTCCCCTGAACATGGTGAGTACTGCCCACTTCTGGTGTGTTATCTTTTGAGTTTAGGGAACTCTTCTGGTTTCCTCTAAAATGGTGTTCCTGTTACACGTGTTCTGTTAGCATCTTCCTTCTATCACTTAACAAGACTCTGGATTGTCATTGTCTGATCTCTGTACCTATGATGTTCTCTTTGGCCATTTTCCTTGTTTTGCACTTTTTCTCTGGGTTCTAGGGGATTTTCTTAAGCCTGCTCTCCACATCAGAGGTAGTTTTTCCCAGGGCTGATGATGCTTTTTGCTGTTTCTAGGGTAATGTTAAGTTCTCTAACAGAGAGATCCCTGCCCTTAAATCCTTTCTTGATGTTGTCGGTGGTTCCTGCATGTCTTATCTTTACTCTCACTGCATCCCAGAGTCCCTGCTCTCCTTAAATGCTGTGAGCAAATACTGCTTCTACTCCTTGGAATCCATCTTCCAGAGCATGGTTTTTATCACGTGCATCTGGTGTTCACATCCTCTTCCATTTCTGGAACAGACATACTACAAAATTTCTTGCTGTTTACTAACTGGGGGCAATTCTGTTCTTTCGGTTTCAAACAATTGGGGTCATTCACCTGTTCTCCCCTCCTTGTTTACCTGGCCTTTCCCTACATCCACAGCCTGGGATTAGTGCTGGATAACAGGATGTCGTAAACCCATCAGTTCTGTCTTCTAGAGACGTGAGGAAGGTGGGAGGACTGGGACTGTGGGTGAGAGTCCTGGCTGAGTCCAGGAGCTCCTATACTTGTTGAAAACCCCATCCAGGGGTTGTTATCCTGAGCAGAAAGAGGGAATCCTGTGCCCCTGCATCACCTGGGAATGCCTGTGGTGGGTACATGCCCATGGTGAGGGCATAGGCAGCAGTTCCAGTTTGCATCTGTACATCAGGATAGCAGCACTTTGGTGAAAATGCTAGACACACAGACTCCTTCCATTTGGGAGCTGTTGGTGAGGAGCTTCCTGTTCTTGTGTTATGTCCTTTCCAAAATCCCTTTGCTATTCTTGCTTTTCAAGTGTAAGAAGGGTTCCTTTGCAGGATTTCATCTCTGCCCAACTGGTCTCTGCAGACTGCCTCCACACCTAAAGGGAGCATGAACTGCCTCATTTGCCCAAGCCAGAAGGGAAGTGGGAAGAAGGCACATGGTTTCTCTTTGTGGGGGCCTTAAGTCCATGGGGGAAGTTTCCCATTTTTCCTTTTTCTTCTGCCCTGCTCATACTCCTCTTCCTCAGAATTGAACATGCTGTAAATAAAATCCACCACCTGGCTTTTCTCTTCTTCTCTGATAAGGGCCAAGCTCCAGCATCTTTTACTTGGGCTCAAATTCTGATGCCATCCAATGATTTGCTTACAGACTAAATTTTTTCCTCTATTTTTGACTCTCCCACACCCATTCATGATTCCATTGGAGATAAAGATTTCAAAAACATTTCTGTGCAATAAACTGAAACTCATATAGGAAACAGGCCTTCCCTCTTCTCTTCCCCTCCCCTTGTCTGTTTCACTGGCTGCCTCTAAGGATTCAGGTAACTAGAAAAAGAGGAAGTCACTGTTGCCTCAAATGTTCTAGCCCAGAAGCAGCAGCTTTGCCATATGCTGGGTGACCACGGAGGACTCTGTCTCAGAACAAGGTGGGGCTCAAAGCATTTATTCTGCACCAGCAGAAAAGTGCAATGCTGAGAAGTGGGAACATTTGCTGATTATGCTGAAAAAGGCACAAATATGTGTTTATGGGAAGGCGGCTGGGCCTCTCACCTTGCAAGAAACAAAATGTGCTATGAAGCAGGAAGCACACATGGCATCCTGTACTTTCATACCGCTGAATACGTCTCTGCAAGCTTATGCCAAGTGCTGCCTCATCTAATCTTACCACAGGAATCACAGCAACATTTCAGATAAGAGAAAGAAGGTCAAGGGCTTGGGTCAAAGTCACCACAGCAGTTAGTGAAGGTCAAATACTGCAATGAGCATTTCTCTGCTTCCCATCCCCGATGATTCCACTTAACAAGGCCAAGGAAAGGTTAAGTGGGACATCATCCCTGGCTTTCCTTAAACCTCAGCATGGTGGGAATGAGTAAGAGGAGGAGAAAGACAGAGCGTGAGCTTCTATCACCCCCAGTCTGCCTACCCAGGGACTGTCTAGGTGAGTGAGATGAACACAAACCCCAGTACAGTAAAACTTTTATGAAGCCTGCCTGAGAAGTATCTACTGACTTGGAGAGTATGTTTAAGGGATCATACAGGAAAGTCATGGGCTCCTCCCCACTCGACCCTCTCCACAGACGTAAATAAAAAGCAGATTTAATGCAAATAAGTGGACAGATGAGCTGTGCAGGAGGCAGGCACTGAGAGACTGATCACTGGGATACTCAAGCAGAGTGAGATGAGTGCTGTAAAGGTACTTTCCAAATGGTATTCATGTTGACCCAGATTACATCTTCGAATGAGTTCTGGATCCAGAATTATCTGAGGGAGAGGTCTATTAGCAGGGCCATCAAGGGTGAGTGACTCTGATCTCCCAGACCTCAGGGTCCCTTGCAGAGATGACTGAGAGTCAAGTGTACAGATGAAGCTGTGACAGGCTGGGACCCCAGGAACCACTGGAATGTCCATTCCCTGCAGCCTGCCTATGATGAGGTTTCATCTAGATAATGTTTGACAAAAGGATCAGGGTGAGATTAGGAAGTGTACAGCTGCTCCCCCACCGGCCACTCCCATTCTTCTAAGACCAAGGGCTACCAGTGGGAACCACATTGCTCTGTATTAAGCTTCCAGACCACTTCCCACCCTCCCTTCCTCAAAAGGCCCTCGCCTGGGAGATGCTATCCTATTATGCCTGCTTTCCCCTCGAGCAGGTGCCACTGGCCTGTGGTCACTCCTCTTGTTCATCAAGGACAATGGCTCCTAGGTCACATCACCCTCCTCAACATGTCAGTTTTCTGCTTCAGCACCCACGTGGAGGCTCACCCTGCCCTCCAGCCTCCCCAACCCCAGATCTCACATCTTAAGGCTCCTCCCCTGGCTCTGGCCAGCAACCCCAAGTCATACCCGCTATTTTGCCTCTACCTGAGAATGCTCCACCTCTCAATTTCCAAAGCACTCCTGTCTGGCTCAAATACAACCCCGACCAACCCCTCACCATTCTGGAGTTTCTACCTTGTCAAGACCTCTAATTTCCTAATCCCTCCCTAGTCGCCTCTTGTTTTCAATTCCCATTTTGGGCCAATTAAACCTTAGACTGCCCATTTCATCACTGAAATTTCTCTTGTCATGTCATCGGAACTCCCCATCTTTCTCTCACCTTCTTTTACTTCCCTGGCAAAACTCCAACACTGCAGTAAGTGTCTCCATCCCAACTGCTGAATCCTGATGAGGGAAAGACAGGTGCATGCAGAGCCCCACTTAACAGACACACATCTGAGTGCCAAACATCCTACTCTAAACTGACCAACTCAGAACTCAGCCTTGTCCGGCCCTTCTGCTGTTTCCTTAATCAATCTGATTTCCAACACCAAGGAAAACATCTACTTCCTACCTTCCAAGAACATGCTCCACCCACATCTAGCTGATAATATCACTTCATTTCACAAAGAAGAGATTCAAACTCCTTCATCATTTCCCCATTAATTCAGTCATCCTAATCTTCTATACTGACCCCTTTCTGTTGTATTGAGTCCTGTGAGGCTGCAGAGCTGTCTCTCTTCCTACAAAGGTCCCATCCCTCCTCCTCTCTCAAGGACTGTGACCCTTCAGGGGTCCTCCTACCCGACCCCATCCCATCTCTCTCATCGCACCATCTTGACTGTTGCCATCAACATCAGCATGCTCTACCTCCCACCTTAAACACGGCTTGACCCCAAAGCTCTCCAGTTATTAACCTGAGCCCCATTTAGGGCTAACTTCTCACATGCTCCACTCCCCAATCTTCCATTCACTCAACCAATCCAGCCTGCCTTCCACACCACCCTCCCTGAAATGGCTGCCATCATAGTCATCAAACACTTCATGTTACTAAATGGCGTGGACAGTCCTGCCTCTGTTTTAGTGAAACCCTCATAAGCACTCTGCATAGTCCACTCTCTTGTTTTCTTTAACATGCCTGGTTTTCTCTGCCCAAACTCTTAGGATCGGGCTTCCTAAGGGCCATGTCCTGAGCCCTCTTCTTTTTCTCTCTCCATGGATTACTTTGTCCAGTCTACGTTTTTCTACCACCTTTGTGTAGATAAAGTGAAGGGCCTAGAGGCCCAGCTCTAAGCCCTCTTTAATGGGAGGCTCTTTTTGGCAGGACAGGCCTAGACCGGGGTGGGTCACTTCCCTTCTGATAGTATCAGAGTCTCAGGCATCCCAAGGATAAAAACTCTGGAGCACAGACACCAGTAGTTACAGGTCTCATGCCCATGCTCAGTCTAAGGAAACCTAGCCACTTCCTTACCCTTCCTGCTCAGTTTCAGAAGAAAAAGATTGGGGATTGGTTAGGATACTCTCGCACCTTTTAAGAGCCGACTGCCTTGGTCACCACTCAGACAAGAGCAAGTCTATTTTCAGGAAGCACAGGCGGTCCTCTGCCTCTCTATCCTCCCTAACAAATAAGCTGGGTTAGACCCTGGAGAGCAGCCACAGAGGAGTGTGGAAAGGACCCATGCTTGCTTCAGAAGCTCCTTGCAATCAGGGAGCAGAGTATGTTGACAAATATCCCTTCATGGTTAAACTGAACATGACCAGGGGAGGTGTCAGGCTGTGTGTTGTTACAGATTGTATATTTGCATGCCTGGGGGTTACCAGGCTATATGCATATATACAGGGAGGAGGCAGGCTCTGAGAAGCTGCCAGGGTACCTGGGATGAGCTGTGGATTTTTGTCCCTGGTGCCATGAGTTGGAGGGTCCTCTGCTCAAAACATATGGTACACACTTCTTCTTTTAATCTGGCATCATGTATCATCTCTCAGGTCCAATAAGAAAACATTCCCCCATCCTTCCCTCCCTCCCTAGTACCAAGGTCCTCATCTCAGTTTCCATGGGTCCATGGAGGACTGCCTCTAGTGACGAGCTGGAATCTTAAGGCCTGAGATCGAGCCAGACTGTAGCAGTCCCAAGTCCTGGAGAGCTTCCAGTAACTGCTCCCGGGCAGAGCCAATAAAGGAATTCTCCAGGAAGGTAGGCAGGCCTCCCACACCATCCCGCAGGGTATACAGGGGCACTCGCACCAGGCCCAGCACCTGAAAAAGAAGGAGACAGCAGATACTGGGACCCCAGGTGGCTCATTCCCTCCATCCTCTCTCTAGCAGATATTTCTAGATCAGAGGTCTCACCCCTTAACACTCCAGCAGAACCAGGCCCAAGGTTCATACCTCACTAAAGCCTAGTGGTCCAACCTACTGCAGGAAAATGACCCAAAACCCATTATCTAGCTCTATCAATTAATATTTTCCACATCTGCTTCTAAACCTCTAGTCGTTCCTGCCTCAAAGATGCATTCATACCCTTTCACCAGTGGTTGTCAAAATGTGGTCCTCAGATTACTTGCATCAGCATTATTTGAGAACTTTTGAAAACTCCAAATTCTCAGGTTTCTTCTGCCCATGCCCCATCACCAATGCAGGAATGCTGGGAGAAATTACTGTTTTAATAAGCCACCCAGATGATTTTGTTACCTGACAAATTTTGAGAACCACCTCATACACAGTCTACTAGCCTTGCCTGAAATATCAGGGTCACATCTCCTACAAAAGAAAAGCAAACCCAGGAATAAAACTTAGGGTGCCATGCCTAGATAATGTGATAATCTATCACACTGTCTATCACCAGCAGAGAGGCGTGGATGAGTGTGTTCTAGAAAAGATGTCTCCAGAGATCCTGGATCTCTCCTGGTAATGGGTGGGGAAAGACCTTTACAGAAAGCCCAGGTTGGCAGTACTAACTCAAAGTAGAGATGACCACGATCCAAACTCCACCAAGAAAATTGGGAAGAGGGCAAGGTCAGAGGGGTAAAGACTTTCCAGCGGGGATTCGTTCCTGGGGGAGGGAAAGCTTTGGGAAAAGAGGAAATTGGGAAAGGGACAGAGTCCCAGGCTGGCCCCACCTCCAGCCCGTGGTCCTTGGCGCGTGTAGCGCCGGCCTCCACAGCCAACAGCTGCTCAAGCGTCAGACACTTGGCGTAGAAGTGGGCCACAACGCGCGGCCCTGACCCGGCGTGGGAGCTGCGGTAGTCAGTGCGCTCTACGCGGAAGGCGGCCGCAGCCTCGCCCAGCTCCTCGCGCAGCTCGCGGTTCAGCCCTTCCTCTAGGCTGTTGTCCTGCGTGTCCACGAATCCTCCGGGGAAGCCCAGGCGTCCATCGAAGCGCATCTGCATCTGCGAGAGGGGGAAGCGGGGATTGGCAGGGGCGACCCGGAGGAGACCCCAGAGAGCAGGGATCACGCAGAAAGTGGCCGGGCGCGCCCACTTCTCACCAGTACGGCGTAGCGCAGCGGGATGCGGCCGAAGAGCATCCCAGGATCCGGCGCGTAGAGCAGAGCGTGGCACGCATGACGCCAGCCAGGCCCCAGCTCCAGGGCCTCGGCCAGCTCTAGCCTGCGAAACCCAGCCATGGCCGGACACTGCTCCTCCGCAGTCCGGAAGGCCCACGTGGGCAGAGAGGCGGATCTCACCTCCTACTAATCCGAGCCTGGGCGGTGCCACAAGGCCCAATCCCTGTGGGAATAAGGGGCGGAACTTAAGCTCCTGAGGGCGGGGCGCCGCGACTGGTGCGGGAGGCAACCAATCAGGGCGGGACTTGCAGACCCGTGAAGTCCAGGATTCAGGAACCCTAGGTAAACCGAAAGTAACCTCCGGGTTGGCCGTGCGGGGGGCGGGGCTGAAGGTGTGGTCGCGCCCTAAACCTGGACCTAGGCGGGTACCTAAACGTCTCCTGGGAGCCAAAAGAGCAAATCAGGTAACGAGCTGTGGCTGGGTCTGGTGGTACACAAAGCACAAGGCCTGGGTTGGAGATAGAAGGAAATGAGGCGGGGCTGGCCTCACACACCGAGGCCTATCCTAGGGAAACGGGGTGGATGGAGGGGCGCCATGGTCTAACAACTATCTTGAGTGGTGAAACTGAGGGGACTTGGTGACTGCCTGAAGGGGGAAGAGGGAGCGCTGGACTAGTGGTGGTTAAGAGTTTCCTGGATGTGGTGTCATTTGCTGAGAGGGGAAGAGTGGGAGAAGGGTGGGCAGTGATAAATGTAGTTCTAGTCAAGAATTGGGGTGGCCATAGACAGTGGGCAGCTGATCCTGGGGATTTGACGCCCAGGAAGTGGCACATGGAGAAGTCACAGGGCAGTGAGATTTTCAGGAGAAGTGTGGGGCGGAAGGAACTGTGAGTGAAACCCTGTGGCACAGGACTGGGAGTGAGGAGGGGTGAGAGGTAGAAGAAGCCACCTAGGCGTTCTAGTGTTTCCTGCAAACACCCTCAGACCTCTGAGCTATGAAGGAAGGTGGGTTACCCTACCACAAGGGCAGGGGCCTACCCAGGGCCTGATGCTGAGGAGCAGAGATTTAGGATCCCTCACCCGAGACCAGGCCTTCCCGACGCCGCACAGCGCCCCTACACCAGGTGTCAATATTGATTATGTAATAGAAAGTAGGAGGCAGCTATTTGAGGGGGGCTGGGCATAAAATCACAGCCTGTAAGTGACAGCATGTGGTGGGAAAGAGTCTGGACCCACCCAGAAATAGGCTTTTGACCTTAGCAAGTCACTTAACTCTCGGATTCCAGCAGCTCATCTGTTAGGTGGAGATGATAGCAACCTATTAGGGATGTTGAGATATGTAAAGCACTGAGAAGGGCGCCAAGCAGAAAATAAATGTAGCCATTTTGGAGTCAACGGTTGGGGCACAGTGCTCTGTCTTATGTTGAGGACCCAGGGCTGGGCACACTGGCTCGTACCTATAATCCCAGCACTGTGGAAGGCAAGGGGAGGTCATTCGAGATAGAGACCCTATCTCTACAAAAAACAATAATAAAGACCCAAGTGTTGGAACTGAACCACACTCATCAGCCTCATATTCTAAGGAGGGATGAGACTTGTATGACATTATCTTTCCTAGCTTAGTCTTCTGAGCTGTGGGGCAGGGATATCATCTAACAACGTGAAGCAATTGCATTAAGGTGATGAGTCTGTAGGTGTGACACAATTGTCCTTAGCCTGCTAGAGTTCTAGGGGGTTTGAAAATAGCTCTCCTTTAATGTTAGAGTCACCTTGCAAAAAGCTTTTACAATTTTTTAAAAATTAACACTTTTGGGGTCCTATCACAGACCAATTTAATCAGAATGTCTGTAGGTCATGCAGGGACATACATGGTTTTTAAAATGTGTTTTAGGTAATAATAATCAGGGTGGAGAACCGGGGCCTTCCCCCTTCCACTAGCATTCCAAAGGTGACTTGGTTTTTCTCCTAGCTAGGCTACCTTTAACGATTTAGGATCAAACATGCCCTTTCCAGATCTTCAGTCTCTTCTTTCTTTCCTGGTTGCTTGAGGAGACTTTAAAGATGGTCTTTAAAAGATGGACTTCAAAGATTTCAAAGGCAACATGAAAAACTGTAAAAGCAAGGCAACAGCTATACAAGTGTTAATGATTTCGGAGATCAGAGCTTTTTCTAGATAAATATGGAAACCCTTCAGAGCCCCCACCTTGCCATCCCTTTCAAATCCTTCTCTGCCTCTGCCCCACCTCCCCACCCCCACCAATCACCCCACATTCCACTATCCTGAGACAGAATGTCCAGGACTCAAAGCTGCAGGTAGAGGGCTGAGCCATGTACCTAAACAGCTGCTGCAAATTCATAATAGTACTTGGAACCAAAAATAACCCTTTGGTCAGCCTGTGAGGATTCTAAAAAACCAATCTATTATTTAAAAAATAATAATGAAAAGAATCAAGGATTTATCCTGCCTTTTTTTATATGGGTTCTTCCTCAGGGCCACCAAATAGTTCATGAGAGGAAATGTATCTCACAAAATATTCCAGTTAATCAAAGAAGAAGGAAAGAGCCAATCAAAATTTTAACATTTAACAAATGTTAAAGAATTAATGGAATCTAGGGAATGATCACATCATGAATAGACAGTTGTTATACCCATTGTGATAAAAGAGCACACTGCCTCCTTTGGATTATTTCTGCCAAAATATTGAACTGTTACCTTGATCTAACAATTTATAAGAAATACAAAGGAATACCTATTTAAAATATTAGGAAGAGACTAGAATGGTCTATGTAGTAATAGATTAGAGTCTGAAACATCAGTATGAATTCATTTTTAGCTTGATGTAGATATGGCTATATATATACACACACACACATATGTATACATACAAGGGTTAATGTGCACACATATTTCCTTGCTCTGTCAGGTGAGTGGGCTTAGGAGCAATGATATTTCAATAGCAACAAACACACCAAGTGCCACATTTTGGTTTCTAACACCATTTTCTATAAAAGGAATCAAAGCCCTTTGGAGAAATGGCTGATTCCAGCATTGGGCCAGGAAGTATACAACTTGGATATACAATAAGCTGGAAGCATCTTATGATGCCAGAAATTAAGGAAGTTCACCAAGTAAAAAAAGACAAAAATCTATATTGATGGAGATGTGTCAAAGAAACAGGGACACAGGGACCAACTGAAAAAACTTCCAGTGGTAAAAGGTGTAAGAATTGTATTGGATTACAACTTGAAGTACAAATAAATATCTAGAGGTCCATACTGATATACAAATAAATAATGAAAATTTAATAGTAAATAGACGAGAGAAAAACATCCTGTGCAGAAGAATTAGAAATAATTCATGTAGCTACTCTGTCCTCAAAGAGGTGGAGCATAGCTTCCTACTCCTTGTGGGTTGTGAATAATGCCTTCCTTCCAAAGAGTACAGTATGAAAACAAGAGAGGGAAGGAGAAACTTTGTTACTTTGTGGAGAAACCTGAAACACTACCTTGGACAAGTGATCAAGGTCAAAATCAACATTGACAAATCATGTTGGTAGAATGTACCCTTAATATGAAGTAATGAAAATGGTACTTTTGTCTGTGGTTTTCCCCCAAAAAGATATAATCCCCCTCTAACCATGAGAAAAGCACCAAACAAATCCCATTGAAGGGACATTTTACACAATACCTGACCAGTAAGTCTCAAAATTGTTACTGTCTTAGTCCATTAGGGCTGCTGGAACAAAATACCATTGATTGAATGGCTTAGAAACAGCAAATACTTGATTTCTCCCAGTTTTGAGGCCTGAGAAATACAAGATCAAGGTACTGGAAGATTTGGTGACTATTGAGGGCCCACTTCTGGGTTCATAGAAGATAGCCTTGTGCTGAAACCTCACATGTGAGAAGCGGTGAGGGAGTTCTCTGCGGTCTCTCTTATAGAGTCACTAATGTCAGGCATGAGAGCTCTGCCCTCATGACCTAATAACTTTTCAAAGGCCCTACTTACCAACACAATTGGAGTTAAGATTTCAACATAAGAATTTTAGAACAAAAATATTCAGTCTATAGCAATCATGAAATATAAAGAAAATCTGAGGAATTCTCACAACAAAGAGGAGCCTAAGAAGACGTAGCATGACTAAATGGAACATGACATCCTGGAGAAGAAAAAGCACGTTAGAGAAAAACTAAGGAAATCTGAATAAAGCATAGATTTTTGTTAATGATATCAAAATTGATTTGTTATTGTAATAAATATTTTATAATAATGTAGATGTTAATTATAGGGTAAAGTAGGTAGAGTATATGGGAACTCTGTACTGTTTTTATAAATTTTCTGTAGATGTGAAACTTCTAAAAAATAGGTTTGTTTTAAAATCAGGCAAATACAAATAGTGAAATATACAAAATATACAAAGTGAAATATACACTGAATAAAAATTTAGAGAAAAAATGACCTGGTTTCTTTAATAAATAAATCACACCTATAATCCCAGTACTTTGGGAGGCCGAGGTGGGTGGATCATGAGGTCAGGAGTTCGAGACCCACCTGACCAACATGGTGAAACCCCATCTCTACTAAAAATACAAAAATTAGCTGGGTGTGGTGGCACACGCCTGTAATCCCAGCTACTCGGGAGGCTGAGGCAGGAGAATTGCCTGAACTGGGAGGCGGAGGTTGCAGTGAGCCGAGATCATGCCACTGTATTCCAGCCTGGGCAACAGAGTGAGACTCCATCTCAGTAAATAAATAAATAAATAAAAATTATAAAGGGAAAAAAAGCATGGTGGCAGAATCTATACATTAAGAGACGGAAGAGACATATCAATTGAAGCAGTTGGTTTATTTGATTTCTAATTTGTCCAATCTTATTGATCATTGTTTGAGGTGCTAATAGTATGGTGGCTGTTTTTTTAGGGTTTTTAATATATTAGAGATACATACTAAAACATTTGTGAATGACAGGATAAAAATAATTCAGTGAGGGGGTAGAGGCTGAAGGTATAAATAAAATAAAATTGGCCATAAATTGATAATTTTTGAAGCTGGGTGATGATGGGTCTATTAAGGACTTACGTTATTCTGCTTACTTTTATATAGCTTGATGTTTTCATAGTTAACAAGTTAAAAATAAAAAGATATTTGGCATCTGATGAAGTAAAGGTAAAGGTTATGATTTACATTTAAATAAAACTTTGCATTTTAGAAAATTCTTTCACAGACAGAATCCCTTTAGTCAAGGAGAGGGAGAGAGGTAAGGGTCTAGTCTTGTTAAGCAGGAAGAAGACTACAAACCCGCTACCATCTGCCAGGTAATTTTAAGCCAGTCCCTTAATTCCCATCAGATTTTCCAGATGCTTTGAATGCAGAATCAAGGTTGAAAATGACTGATTTAAACAAATACACTATGGAGGAAGGGGAAGGTGGTTCTATCGGCAGAGAGCAACCAGCTAGAGCCAT